TAGAAAAAGTTGTCTGCTCAATTGTGCTCCTTCCTGCAAAAAAAGGATCTCTACGAAGAATTTCAAGAAAGTCAGGTTTCAGGCCCCACCATAGCACAGAAACTGCACTTGTTAAAATTACAAATGACTTGCTTCTTGCGTCAGACCAAGGCTGTGTCTCATTGCTAGTTTTACTTGATCTTAGTGCTGCATTCGATACTATAGATCATGACATACTCATAGATCGATTACAAAACTATACAGGTATCCAAGGGCAGGCTTTAAGATGGTTTAGAGCCTACCTGTCCGATCGCTACCACCTTATTCATTTAAATGGGGAGTCATCTCAATTATCACCAGTAAAATATGGAGTGCCACAAGGATCTGTCCTAGGTCCTCTGCTATTTTCGATATACATGTTGCCACTTGGTAATATTATTAGGAAATACGGGATTAGTTTCCACTGTTATGCCGATGATACTCAACTATATATCTCAACAAGACCAGATGAAACTTCTAAATTATCTAAGCAAACGGAGTGTGTTAAAAATATAAAAGAATGGATGACCAATAATTTTCTCCTATTAAATTCAGATAAGACAGAGATATTACTTATTGGACCAAAAGACAGTACGCCGAATCTCGTGGATTACAATTTGCAACTAAACGGATGTACGCTTACTTCCTCTACAGTCAAAAATCTGGGTGTTATATTAGATAGCAACTTGTCTTTTGAAAACCATATTTCCCATGTTACAAAAACGGCATTCTTCCATCTTAGAAACATTGCCAAGTTACGAAACATGATACCTGTTTCTGATGCAGAAAAGCTAGTTCATGCATTCATGACCTCTAGACTGGACTACTGTAATGCACTGCTAGGTGGTTGTCCTGCATCTTCAATAAACAAGCTACAGATAGTCCAAAATGCAGCGGCTAGAGTCCTTACCAGGTCAAGAAAATATGATCATATTACCCCAATTTTACAGTCTCTGCACTGGCTACCTGTTAAGTTCCGTATCAGTTACAAAATATTATTACTTGCCTATAAGGCCCTTAATGGGTTAGCTCCTGCATACCTAACTAGTCTTCTACCACGCTACAATCCATCACGCTCCCTAAGGTCGCAAAACTCTGGACTTTTGGTAGTACCTAGGATAGCAAAGTCCACTAAAGGAGGTAGAGCTTTTTCGCATTTGGCTCCCAAACTCTGGAATAGCCTTCCTGATAACGTTCGGGGTTCAGACACACTCTCTCTGTTTAAATCTAGATTAAAGACACATCTCTTTGGCCAAGCATTCAAATAATGCATCTCATAATCTTTTACTGCAGTCATAATCTTTTACTGCAGTTATATCTAATCAAATGCACATTATTATTCATTAGTTTGGGTTAAACAAATCATTTTTGCTTGGTTGGAACAGCAGCTACGCTAATTATGTTTGTATTTGTTTCTCTGTCTTTTGCCACGGGATTAACATCCCGTGGTAACTAGGATTCACACAAGCTTCAGTCTGGATCCAGAACACCTGAGAAGAGATGATGCAACCCCTCAGAGGACCTCAGATGATGCCAACCCTGAAACAACATACAGAACTACCACATTTTGCTATAAGTTTGATTGCATCATATAATAATTGCTGTTAATATTATTCATCGTCTGTTTTATTACATCTTATATTGATTTTTCCGTTCTGCTGGTTCGTCTGGTCAGAGGAGAACTGGCCCCCCGACTGAGCCTGGTTTCTCCCAAGGTTTTTTCTCCATTCTGTCACCGATGGAGTTTTGGTTCCTTGCCGCTGTCACCTCTGGCTTGCTTAGTTGGGGACACTTCATTTCCAGCGATATCGTTGACATGATTGCAAAGATACTATTTAAACTGAACTGAGCTGGATGTTGACATCACTGAATTCAATGATGAACTGTCTTTAACTGAAAAATGAGTGTTTACTATTGTCACTTTGCATTATTGACACTATTTTCCTAATTAATACTGTTCAGTTGCTTTGTCACAATCTGTATTGTTAAAAGCGCTATATAAATAAAGGTGACTTGACACACACACAGATAGATAGATAGATACACAGACAGATAGATACACACACACACACACAGATAGATAGATACACAGACAGATAGATACACACACACACACACAGATAGATAGATACACAGACAGATAGATACACACACACACACACAGATAGATAGATACACAGACAGATAGATACACACACACACACACAGATAGATAGATACACAGACAGATAGATACACACAC